CGCCAAAACCGCCCCCCGCCGTGTCCACTGCCGAGAAGGAACAGGCGGAAAAAACCTGCTGCGCATTCAATGGGGCTCCCGACCCTTGTTTCCCGAGGAGGAAACCTACAGGGAAAGCCTCCGTCTTTCACAAGGAGCCTCCATCTTCTCAGGCTCCCAGCTGGGAGGGCCCCACCGTGTCCCCACCATGTCCAGAACGCTGCACGCTCAGCTCCATCGACAGCCGCCCGCGCTCCCCGCAGCGCATAAGGCCCAAGCTTCTTCCAGAGAGAGACCTCGTGGCAAGGACCACCAAGGCGGGTGGGACAATTCCCCGACACCTCACGATGCCGCCAACACCAACCAACACCTCCCCGAAAGCAAAGCGGGACGGAAGCGTCCCATGCCCGTACCCGCATCTCCAGCCAACACCAGCACTGCGGCGTCCTCTGAAACTCCGCCGTGAGGTTGGTGACTCCTAAAGGATCCGCCGAGCGAGTCACCATGGCCCAGGGGCCTCCCGGGAGGATTCCCTCGCACCGAAGCGACGGAGCAGCCCTCACGCAAGGAAAGCAGCACCGAGACACCCCGTGCGCGCGCTGACACGCAGCCGTCCCCTGAGGCCCTCGAGTACCGTGTTGGAGACGTCAACCACTGAAGTCTTTCTCTCTTTTTTTTTCTCTTTGTTCTTTTGGACAAGAAAGTGACAAATTAATTAATTTTGAAATAAAAAAAATAGATAACGGGTCTAAACAAACTTCTAATATTCAACACTTGCAGTTTTTTATGTTTTTTTTTTTGTTTCTTAAAAAGATCAACTCAGACTAAAATCTAGCACAGTCATGCAACAGCCCACAGCTCTCAGAAATCCAGCAACAGCTCGAGGTTCGTAGGTTTGGGAAACAATTCTTACTCTTCTTTTAAACATACTTTTGCTGTTGTGTTCTTTTTTCTTTTATATCAGCATCTTCTCCCTTCCCTCCTTATTAAAACCAAACCAAACCAAACTACAACATAATAAGAGATGTGCAGGCTTCAAAAGATTGTTCTGCATGGTGAGAAATGCTTGGAAATTTCTTCCAGACCATTTGGTATCCTTTTTTTTTCTTTTTTTTTTTCCCTCTACTGGCTGCGTAAATCCATTTCATATTTTATATTGGTTTGATTCTCCTTCAGTTAACTATACAGCACCCCACTGGGGCACGAGAATTAGATTGTAACCACATATATATATATACACACTTTTATTATTTTAATTAAAAACTTCATTATTTTCCCCTCTTTTTTTTTTCCCTCCCCCCTCACTTGCAATTTCAGGGAACGGACAGAAATCAGCTGGGCTTCTTTCCATTTGATTGACACAGTCACCCATTTCTGGCAGTTTGGCCCCCTCTTTGCCTTGGCCCAGGCAGCCCTCAGTACACAAAAGGAAATGGTTTGCTCGTTTTTTGGAAGGTTTTGGTCACCTGCTCCAAGTCGGGCAGCGTTCGGCACCGTTTTATTTCTGGGAAGAATAAAGCTGTGAGGATCTGCCATTCCCAAGGGGGTGGCCATGGGATCCGGTGAAGTGACAGGAGGCAGCAGTCCCCAGAGGGGCGAAGGGGTGGCGGGGGGACGGGGCGACAGCAAGAGACACGGCGGGAGAAAGAATGGAAAAGACAGAGAAAGGAAAGGTGAGATCCTGGGTGGGAATTCCTACACGAATTCGGGCTCTTGGGGATGCTGGAGCCGTTTGCATCCCCGCGTTGTCACCTCTCGGGACCTGCACGGTCCGTGCTCCGCGTCGCAGCTCCCGGACCAGGCGGCCGGAGAGGCGAGAGCTGCGGCCCTGCGCATCCCGTACGGAATGTGCCGCGGAAACGCGGCCATCCAACCCGCCTCCCCCGGGATCTGCGCCCTTCCCCTTACGTCAGCACAAAAAGATGACAAGGAAAAAAAAAAAAAAGGAAAAGTTTTTAACCATGCAGTCAAAAATCTCAGCACAGTCCCTCCCTTCCCTCTTGCAGGGATCTGCCTGGCCTAACCTGAAACAAATCCGTTGATGTTGCTCCTGTCAAAACTGCTTCTAATTGGACTATTAGGCTGCTGCGGGTTAAGGCTTAGTTACAGGCAGAGCGCGGGGCTGACAGCTCCCTGAGCCTCAGATCTTCCTCCTTGTTAAAGGAAGCAGCATTTGACTAATGTCTCCCAAGGCTTTGAACGGCGGAGCCGGCCCCGCGCGGAGCTCGCTCCGCAGGGGCTTCATTAGGGCTGCTTTAGCAGCAAGGGGTCCCTGCTCCCCGCGGAGGTGTCTGGCTCGGGCAGCTCGCACGGACACTGGGAGCCAAGGGAAGGAGATGGGTAAAACCGACACGCCAGGGTGATGGGCAAAGCCAGCAGAGCCCAGGTTGGCTCCATACCCCAAGTCACCGGCAGCCACCTCTGAGTGCGGGCGCTGCCACCGACCACCTGGTCCTGGGCTCCCAGCATGGAAAACGGGAGCGTTTCCAGCGCCCTTGGAGGTCCAGGACACCCCGGTGCCAAGCTGGGATGTGCCCAGGCTCCGCAGCAACTTTAACGACAAAACAAGGACGAGCTCCACAAAGCACCGAGCACCCCTCAGTGACCCCCTAGGACCTTCCTTTCCTCTCTGATCCTACTCAGCCCAGATCGTGACCCTCAGAACCACTCGAGCAGCAATTAAATAAAAGCATCTATTCAGCTAACGAAACTCCCACTGCTTTTTTTTCTTTTTTGATTTTTTTTTTCACTAAACAACATTCAAATAAAACATGGCACAGGACGTATTTAAGAAATATCAAAGCTCAGGGATTTCTCCCTTTCCTGCCCACCCTTACTGTCCCCACCCCCAAATCTCCCCAGCATCAGTCCTTTAGCTTATTTTTTAAAATCATTGTCATTAGTTTGTTGCAAAATTTAGAATATTTCTCCCCTCCCCGTTTAGTTATACTTTTTTTTTTCCCCTCTTTAAATTAAAAATTTTGTTTGTTCTGTGTAAATTGTGCAAATATAGCAGTTAACACTAGTGGCAGAAGGCCAGAGAGAGAGAGAGAGGGAGGAAAAGACAGAAAAAGAGACGAGGGGGAAAAGAAGGGGTAGAGCTGGAGGGGGGAGGAAGGAAGGGAGAGCAAGTCAAGTACAGTAAAAACAGGAGCCCACCCCCCTCCCTCCACCAGAGTAACAACCACCCAAGCGCCGGCCCCGAAGGGCCGCGGCC